GAACGAAAGAACGAACGAACGAACGAACGAACGAACGAACGAAACGAAAACGAACGAAGAACGAACGAAAACGAACGAAACGAACGAACGAACGAACGAACGAAACGAAAACGAACGAACGAACGAACGAAAGAACGAACGAACGAACGAACGAACGAACGAACGAACGAACGAACGAACGAACGAACGAACGAACAACGAAACGAAAGAACGAACGAACGAACGAACGAACGAACGAACGAACGAACGAACGAACGAACGAACGAACGAACGAACGAACGAACGAACGAACGAACGAACGAACGAAGAACGAACGAACGAACGAACGAACGAACGAACGAACGAACGAACGAACGAAAACAACGAACGAACGAACGAACGAACGAAACGAACGAAGAAACGAACGAACGAAAAACGAACGAACGAACGAACGAACGAACGAACGAAAACGAACGAACGAACGAACGAACGAACGAACGAACGAACCGAACGAACGAACGAAACGAAACGAACGAAACGAACGAACGAACGAACGAAAGAACGAACGAACGAACGAACGAACGAACGAACGAACGAACGAACGAACGAACGAAAACGAACGAAACGAACGAACGAACGAACGAAACGAACGAACGAAACGAACGAACGAACGAACGAAACGAACGAACGAACGAACGAACGAACGAACGAAAACAAACGAACGAACGAACGAACGAACGAACGAACGAAAACGAACGAACGAAAGAAACGAACGAACGAACGAAACGAAACGAACGAACGAAACGAACAACGAACGAACGAACGAACGAACGAACGAACGAACGAACGAACGAACAACGAACGAACGAACGAACGAACGAAAACGAACGAAACAACGAACGAACGAACGAACGAAACGAACGAACAACGAACGACGAAGCCCAACGAACGAAACGAAGAACGCACGAACGAACTAACGAACGAACGAATAAACGAACGAACTAACGAAACGAACGAAGAAAATACAATAACTAACGAACGAACTAACTTAACTAACTAACATGAACTAACTAACTACCTAACTATACTAACTAACGAACTAACTAACTAACTACTAACTACATCTAACTAACTAACTAAACTAAACTAACTAACTAACTAACTAACTAACTACACTACTAAGCTAGGGTCAAATGACGAGCAGACAGACGGAACATGGACCCGATTGGTATACTTTAAGGTAAAGACATATTTATTGGGTGTTGTACAAACCACCAGCACAAAGGCATAATACCCTCCTTACTAATTATAGTGGTGACGGGTATAATAAATGGATTGTGAAGGCAAGGTATAGAAAATATATATTGACCCACAATTAACTATAACATTCGAAAAAAAGTTATACATATGTATATGTATTCATTACATTCATATACTCAGTATTCATTACATACAGATAGTACTCAGTACTAAAGTAAATTGAAATTTAAGCAGCACTAGCAATCTTTAACTCACAAAAAGAGAAGTTTATGAAACCAATATATTATGTATAACTATATGTGTGTAGTTTAGGTTGATTAGGTGGTTGGATGTTGGTTGAAAGATGTTATTTTCTTAACAATTTTGAGCGAGTGTAAAGTTTCTAACACAATGACATGTTATTACGGCTGAGGGGTAGAGTATGTCATAACACTTGAACAACACACGATAGATTAGTGGCCAGGGACCATATCTTGTGGTATTTTATTAAATTCTTAACAACACATACAAAAATCTAGAATACAACATTGCACTGAGTTGAAAGAAAAGTAAATAAAATAAAGTTGTATAGACAGTTACTATGACCAATAAAATTAAACAAGTGTTTAGGAGCAGTCAGACAGACATATGAGTGTTTTAATGGCTTCTTTATAAGATTTTTTTCCGGTATCAGGGGAAATTTATAAAAAGTCTGATGATACACATAATCATCATCATTAAATTTACACTGCTCTTTATCACTGTAATTTGTGCTTTATTAATGCGAAGATGATTATGTTGCTTGTATAGGAAAATAAACATTTATTTCTTCGCATTGAAAATTACAATGAAAATAAAAAGAAAAACAACAAGTAAGAGTGTTATATTCGGCCATGCCGAATCTTATATACCCACCATCAAATCATACTTATTAATAAACTTTGTCTAAGCAATTTCCTCATTTATTAGATCTATGTTGAATTTTATCATCATATGTCAATATTAATATGAATATCAGGCCTATCTTTATCGGTTTATACAATAATTATTTGTAACGAATTACATCTCTGTACTCGTATATTAAATTCAGTCATGAGGTTTAAAGGAAATTTCTGAAGGAAACCGATAATGGGGGGTTGGATCAGTTATCGACCGATCCTCACCAAATTCAGTTGAAACATTTTAGTTCCTATAAAGCTACCGTAATTTGGAGCCATAGATAAGAGTTAAAGTAATGTTCTGGAGTAACTCTTATATAAGGGTCAATTACTTATATAAGATCTTCATAAACAGTTGTACATACATTATGTAATTTTCAGTAATAATGAGAGTTAAATTAATTTTCTGAAGTGTTAATTTGTAAATCCATCTTCATCAAAGTCGGTTGGAAGATTTTAGTTCCCATTAAACTTATTTATGTTGAATTTCATATATCTAGTCATATTTTAATGCCAGTAATGAGCGTTAAAGGCGCCCATATACGGGGGGTGGGGTAAATTATGGACCGATCCTCATAAATGTAGAACTTTTTGTTCATACAAATATTGTTTATGTCGCATTTATGAGCCAGTAATGAGCGTTAAAGAAATTTTCTAAAGGGGACCTTATATAGGGGGTGGGGGTCAATTATAGACCGATACTCATAAATATCTGAAGAGGACATTTTTGTTCATACATAACTTGTTTATGTGAAATTTCATCGCTGTAGTCAACAGCCAGTAATGAGCTTTACAGTCATTTTCTGAAGGCGACCTTATAAGGAGGGTAGGGTCAATTATAGACCGATCCCCATAAAATTTGATAAAGAGTTTTTGGCTAGCATAAGACTTGCTTATGTAGAATATCACTGCTATAATCGCATTTTTATATGAGCAATGAGCGTTAAAGTAATTTTCTGAAGGGGACCTTATATGAGGTATAGGGTCAATTATGGGCCTATCCTTATAAAATTTGGCAAAGAGTAAGTAAGTTCCCATGAAACATGTTTGTGCCGAATTTCACCGCTATAGATGCTTTTTTAGCCAGTTATTAGCGATAAAGTCATTTTTTGAAGGGGACCTTATATGCGGGGTAGGGTCAATTTTGGACCCATCCTCATAAAATTTAAGAAAATGATTTTAGTTAATATAAACCTTTTTTATGTCAAATTTTATTGCTATATATGCTTCTTAAAGTCAGATATGAGCATTAAAGTCATTTACTGAAGGGGCCCTTATATGGGGGATAGGGCCAATTATGGGCCTATCCTTATAAAATTTTACAAAGAGATTTAGGTTCCCATAAAACATGTTTGTACCGAATTTCATCGCTATTGATGCTTCTTTTAGCCAGTTATTAGCGATAAAGTCATTTTCTGAAGGGGGCCTTATATGGGGACTAGGCGAAATCGTGAACAGATTTTGCCCATTTTCAATACCAAACAAACTGCATCAACTAAAAGTAATCATGCAAAATTTCAACTCGCTATTTACTTCCGTTTGGACTCTATCGTGTTTTCAACAGACAGACGGACAGACAGACGGACGGACATGGCTAGATCGTCATAGAATTTAATAAGGACCCAGAATATATATACTTTTATGGGTCTTAGACGAATATTTCAGTATGTTACAAACGGAATGACAAAAACAATATACCCCCCATCTTTTTTGATGGTGGGTATAAAAACTTTATCTTGCTGTTGCTCTTTGGAGAATTGAAAAGCAAAACTATTTAAGCGAATGAAAATGGACAGTTTGAGTGTTAAAGGAAAAGTTTGAGTTTTTTTCTATTTCTCTCTGCATTTAATTTAATTGTCAATTATGAAAAGGAAATTCATCAAGAGAAATAATAAATTACAAAGAATTACAATCTATTGAAATTCGTTATAGAAAATAAAATGTTATATTTTACAATTAAGTTGATTGATAGCAATTGTTGGATTTAATAGATTTGGGATAATTGCAATAAATTAATCAATTATGTAATTTTAAAAAGGGAAAACTATGAGTTAAAAGAAAAATTTGTGTTCTAATATAATTGTATTAAAATTTATAAAAATAAAATTTCTGCCATCAATTCAACAATGGACTTAAATAGAGAGCGTTTGATTGTGGTGTGGTCAATTGCAGTGCATGACATTTCACATCTTTTGTTCATTTATTAGAATTGTGGTTTTTAGTGTTTATGAACATTATTTGCCATTATCAAGTAAAAGTATATTTTTATGTATTTAAGGTCTGCTTGGTGTTTGCATACTACAAAAAATTGTGGTTTTTTTAAATAAAAAAAGGACATATATTTATGTATAAGACTGTGTGTGTGTGTGTGTGGTTAAAATATTATTTATTTAGGATAGAATTCAAGTACAACCACTAAATACGGGTTGTGTACGTATTTATTATTCAATTAGTGCCTAAAAGTAAAGGTAATATTAATTAAATAAATGCCACTTTTCTGAAAAAGAAAAACATTTAAATGAGTCAATAGAAAAACTGGAAATAAATAAACATAAAACCTAAAAGTAGGCAGTGATTTTTGGTTTTCCTGCAAATGCTCAGCTCAGTGAATAGTAGTACAGTAAAACCAAAATATTTTTTTTATTACTGTCGCATAAAATTTTAAGCTTTTCTATAGAAAATTTGGTGTAAATACTTACAGCTAAATAAAACTCTTAATTGAAATGAAAATAAATACTACCTTAAATGTAAAATGTTTCTTTTTCGAAATTTATGCGCCAGCATATTTATAAAACCTCATTGTTTTCAATTTGTTGATAAATTTGCAAACCTTTTCATACTTACCGACAATAAATACCAATCATCACAACGCATGGAAAATAGAAACTTATACAACTGGATACAACTGCATACGTTGGCGTTAAATCCAATGCACACGTTGGATACTTTTTACCATTATCCTCTACTATTAACGGTTGATCGGGTCGATGCAATCCCAATGAGATTGGCACAAATGACACAAAGGCGGCTAATAGCCAAATGGCAGCAATGGTGACGACAGCTACACGTCTTGTCACCCATCGACCGTATCTGTAGACAAAACGAAATGATGTATGAAAGAGAGAGAGACATTAAACAATAGTTAAAAAGAAGAAAATTCAATGGGAAATTTTAATTTGAAATGTATGTAGGTGGTAAATAATTAATGATGATGACGATGTTAATGCTGGTTGTTAACAGTGACTATCAAAATTGGTAATGTAATCTATATAAATACATATATATGTATGTATACAAAAATCAATGTATGTTTGTTTATTTTGTATGGACAACTTTGGTATACATATGAACGTTTGTGGACAAAATGAGAGGACTAGTTATAGTAGGCGTGGTACTTCCCATATAAAAATATTAAATTAGTATATATGAAAAAATAAATCATTTAGAGTTGGAGCCTTTATAAATATTAAGCAATAGTGGGCGTGGCATCTCCTATATAAATTACATATAAAATTTTGTATATGTTTAAAAACATAAAAGATAGAATCCTCAAATTATACACGGGAGACATTGAAATTCGTATGAACAATTTGGGGAAATGGCGGATTTAGGAATAGGGGGCGTGACACCTCCCATATGAATAATATGAATCAAATTTGACACATTTTCAAAGATCTTATACCACTCCCAACCCCAAACAACCTTCATTTACTCGGCATTGAGTCTATGTGATATCAACTCATTTTAAACATATTGTCTCTATAGTCGCTCCTTCATGGAGTTATGTTGAATCAGCATTGGCAACATATCCCAAATTGTCCATTCAACAGTGCAACAGACTTATATTACACCTCCCATATGAATTAAATACAAAAATTCGTATATCTGGAAAACTTTGGTGACTTAACTCTTTCACGCACAAAACTAAACCGCTGGACTTTTAATAGATATGACCTCAATACACACTTTATTTTGACGTATGTTGATCATTTCTGATGGAAAATGGAAAAAGTGTTTTCGAAGGATATCGCAGGATATTAAACATTTTAACATGGAATTAATCATTTACTGTAGCTGTGTACTCAAAATTACGTTTTAAATGGAGAAAAATATAAAAAAATCTTGGGACACCGGTGTCCCGTCGAATATACATGGAAAGGAAGGAAACAATGACAGTAGTACCGTACATAAATCGTCATCCATCACATAGAACTTTAATTTGACACATTTTCAACGATCTCATACCACGCTCTCCCCCAAACAGCCTTCATTTACTCTGTACTACTCATTTTCAACATATAGTATCGAAGGTCATTACTCCATGTAGTTATATTGAGTCAGCAATAGCATTGGATATACATATATCCCGATATATCCATTCAACAGTGCATCAGTCTTTAAACAACATTCTCTTCCCTCGATTTTGGTTTCAACTACTTCACGCATTCCGCAGAAGCCTCTCCAATAACCAGTACAAGACAAAGAGCAAGACAATGTTCTAAGGGCAACTGGATGCCGCAGTATCAGATAGGTTAGGTTGTCTATACAAGCATTGAGCATATACATATATATTCCAACAAAAACAAGGTAAGGGAGGGTTCACCAAGCTTACATGCCCATAATTGACCAAGCTTTGTCATAATGAAAATACCTCTAGCGAAGATAAATATATCTGTTGGCATATTAGAGAAGTTGAGATCCCTAAAAGCTCACTGTGATCGTATTTCCCAATTTAAGCAGTACATAGTAGATGAGACCCTTCTCATCCAACCAAAAACAGATCATAAGCTTAACTCTATGGAAATTCGGATTTTCCGTTCATTTGATTGATTTAGAGGGCCTTATTAAACGATAATTTACTACTCATGTCTTCAAAAGGGAACTTTTCATTCCCAGTAATAATTAGATTTTGAAAATTTTAATACTTATCTCGAAATTATTCTTCGAAAATTGTAAATCTGTAAATTTTCAAAAATGATTAAATATTACTTTTTTTGACACCCACTGTAAGTATGTCCTAACAACTCGGTGAGGACATGTGTGCGTATGGTGCATCCATCCATCCATCCATCTATGCACATGTAAGTGTGGCTTTATAAAGTAAACTAAAGACATGTGTACAGACGGATTCTTGTTAGTACAACTCATGTGTCATGTATCTGACATAATGATGGTTGACAAACAGAGAAGAAGATGGAGAAAAAGGTCTGAAAAACAACGAAATAATATTTAACGTTAAATGAATGTCTGCAACTGACAAATTTTGCCATCAAAAACTTTCGGGGGTCTTATAAATGAAATTGTATTTAATGTAATGAAAAATTGTCAATAACATACAGACTTGATAAAGAAGATTAAAAGCTGTTTAATGTGTGAGCAACATAATTAATATTTTATCTTAAAATAGCAGAACGAAAAAGGGTTTTAAAAATATTAATTTAAATAAAGTAGTTTTTACTGCCTAAAAACGTAAAACTTAATTCTTTATATGAACAGAAATTATAATTTAACATGTTTGAATGGTCAACTCATATAATTCCTACTTCGTATCAATATAATAGATCAACAGTCATGCTTCTCCCATTATACTTTATTATTTGTTTTAGATTTATTTCCCTGCATGATTTCTATTATATTGAAATTTATTAACATACAACAAATCATTCCTGAAGGAAGGGGTCATTAAAGCAGGAAGTCACTAAACTAAACAAAATAATACAATTTCCTGTAGCCAATATATATTTTTTTCATTTAATTCCTGTTACTACTGCTGCTGCCAACATAGTGTATTTCATTTTTGCATTATTCTTCTCCTGATTATAAGCAATAAAATTTAATAGCCCGTATATTAGTTGTATTTTATAGCACAAAACATATTTTATTATCTTCTTAATAGAAGCGTGTTATTCAAATAATATTATTTCATGAGATAAAATAAAATTATGATTTTATTAACCATATAAAAATATAAGAGAAATATGAAAGTAAGAAAAACTGAAGGAAAATCTCAAGTGTATCAATATGAAAACCAACAGAGCATTTTAATCATAAAAAAACAGGGAAAATAAAATAATACAATTTCAGTTGTGAGTATGTGTTCGTGTTAGAAAAACAAAAGCAAAAATAAAATAAATAGCTTAATAATATCTGCGTCTGCTCATAAACAAAGTACAAGGAATAGAAATCATTTTTTTTTATTACAGACATACAAACACTGAACAACAATAAAAATAGGAAACGAAAACAAAAACACAAATACCCAAGATAGCAAGTCATAAAATCTTGACACCAGAATTCACACATGTACTTTCTATAAAAACTCAAAAATTCTCCAAAGAGAAAGTGAATTTGCAAATTATGTTTCGTTGAAAAAAGAAACTCACGCATACAACAATGCCAGTGTTAAGGAAACGGAAATGAAATGATATGAAGTGGTCTTATTTTACATATGTACATTAGGGTGGCCCCGTTTGTATGGAGGAAAAATAAGGTGTCAATGTTCCCAACTAAAATTAAAGTTTAATTAATTCTAAGATACCATTTCTCAAAATTTTCGTCCTGGCGTCAATATTTGGGGAGCTGGATCAAAGGATAAAAAGGTACTTTTTTGAGGTTTTTATGATTTTTTTTCATATTTCTTCCAAAGGAAAGATATGAAATATTAGTATCATTAGAAAGGTCCTTAAGAGATGCTTTCATATCAGAAAATTTTGCGTAACAGCAAGATTTTTTGTATTTTAACACAGATGAATTTAATATAATTCGTTGAAATTAATACATAATAATCCTCTGTTTTTCAAAATTCAATCTAGATCGAAGTTTATTTGATTTTATTGACCCCTATGTACGCTACCAAAACATTGTAAAATAATGTAAAGAACAACATACAATCAATCCATTATTAAAAAAGCAAGCATAACAAACGAGTAGATGCTCAGGATAAATTGTCTTCATATATTAGTTAAACGGAAAAATTTGATCTAAAATAGAATGAAAGTGTTATATACCAATGTAAAGGTAATAAAATTGCGCGTATACGGATGTACATATTATGTACGTTAGATAAATATTGCTAGCCGGGAGAAAATAGGGTTTAAAATATTTAAATAAAATACAAATCATATCGAATTTCGGAAAACAGAAAAAACCAGTTCGGTTCAATTATATGAGGTTTATATTGGAATAATTTCAATTAATTACATTCATCAAAAATTCTATGTAAAAGGAACTCGTCTGCCAAAGACCTTTTATATGTCACTAAATTTGCATATGGTTTATTTACAAGAAATATGATAAAAATCATAAAAACCTTAAAAAAGGACCTAAAAAAAGGCTGGATCAAAGGATAAAGCTCACCATATATTGATGTCAGGTCAAAAATTTTGATAAATGGTATTTCAGAATGAACTAAATTTTCATTTTCGGCAACTTTGGGGCCACCCTAATGTACATATGTACATTCAATTATTAACGGATGTGTTCCACAAACAAGGAATGTGAGTCCTTTTGCATGGAAAAATTAACTAAGTAGAAAAATGGAAACAAATAAGCAGGAAGTTATTATTTAGGATTATGCATAGAATAATTGAATTAAATTTATTTACATATTTCATAAATTTAACGTAGACACTCATTACAGCATACATATGTACATACATATGCACATACATACATACTTCATACCGTCTGCATTACTTATAAGTTGTTTAGTAATGACATTCCAGCAAAAACTTAGTTAGTGAGGGGTTAAAATGCTAAAATTTGTTTACACAACATCATTTTAAATCACTGTTTTAACACGATATTGTAGACAATTACTTATCGCGCTGGCTTACAGATAGGGAGTAAGGCAAGTACTTAAACCGATCGCCTACAAATATGAAGTTAAACAGGTTTTTGCAAAAGAAAAATATTTTTTTATACCCTCCACCACCATCAGTGGTGATAGAGGGTATATATAAGTTTGTCGTTCCGTGTGTAACACCAAGAAATATTCATCTAAAACCCAACAAAGTATATATATTCTGGGTCCTTATCAAATTCTGAGTCGATTTAGCTATGTCCGTCTGTCTGTCTGTCTGTCTGTCTGT